CCGCATGAAGGGGGCAAGGGACTTACCAGGTCTAAGTGTACTTGCGAGAAGCGTGAGTCCGCGGCGGGACATGAACCAAGAGGACTGCGGGAGTGACAATGTATTTTGGAGCGCTGTCATTGAAGGCAGGCGCGAGCCCAGATACGAACATCCTTGTTTGTGGTCAGTGTAGACCGTGAAAGCGCGGCCTTCGAGTGCGTGCCTGAAGTGACAAATCGCTAGGTACATGGCGAGCAGTTCTCTACCAAACGTGCTGTAGTGGGATTTCGCTAGCTGCAGGCACCTGGAGAAGAACCCAAGGGTTGCTATTGCCCACCAACGTGTTGTTTGAGGACGGCTACTACCGCGACGTCTGAGGCATCAGTCGTAATAGAAAGGGGTGCAGTCAATTCGGAATGAGCGAAGAGGGCTATGTTGAAGATAGCATCCTTGAGCTCGGCGAAGGCTGCCTGTGCTGTGTCAGGGAAAGCGAACTTCCGTTCATTTCCTCTGAGTAAGTCAGTCAGTGGCTGCATGAGCTGAGCACAGCGCGGAATGAAGCGTCCATAGTATTTGACCAAACCACAAAATCGACGGCGGTGCCTAAACGAAGCCGGAGCTGGGAAGTCCTTGATTGCCTGGATCTTATCAGGAAGGACTTCGAAACCAGACGATGAAACGTGGTGGCCTACGAATTCTACGGTTGATTTGCCGAGTTCGCACTTAGTCGGGTTGACTGTGACACCGTGTTGGGTCAAGTGCTAGAAGAGAGTTCGAAGATGCTCGACGTGCTCTTGTTCCGATGAACTGGCTACTAAAATGTCATCGAGGTAGGAATAGGCGAAGTCTAGGCCACGAGTGACATCGTGGATGAAGCGTTGGAAGTTTGTGCGGCGTTGCACAGTGCAAATGGCATTCTTAAAAATTCAAACAAGCCGAAAGGAGTGATGACGGCTGTTCTAGGAATGTCATTGTCTTTCACATGTATCTGGTGATAGGCGCGAACCAGAGCGATCTTGCTGAAGATCGTCTTACCTGCGAGGCATGTTGTAAGGTCCTGCATGTGTGGGCTGGGATACCTATCTGCGACGGTTAGGCGATTGAGTGCGCGATAATCACCGCACGGGCGCCAGTCACCAGATTTCTTGGGGACCATCTGCAGGGGCGAGGACCAAGGGCTGTCGGAAGGGCGGATTATTCCAAGTTCAAGTATGTGCTCAAGCTCCGCCCTAGCTATCTTTAGTTTCTCGGACGATAGTCGGCGTGCACGGCATGACACAGGTGGTCCATTCGTCCGTATGTGGTGCTTGACTTGGGATGTCACAAGCAAAACTTGTTTCTTGGTTGAAGGAGCTTGGAATACTGGGAAAAGAGGTTGGCGTAGTCTGGCGAGGTCTGTGGAAAGGCGCAGACCGGTGGTATAGATGCGACATCCGCAGTGATACCACATACACTGTGTTTCGTTGCAGTGTCGACTATCATCTGGTGTTTCGCATCGATCAAGAGGTCGAAATGCCCGAGAAAGTCAATGCCGATGATGGCAAAGGGGACTGTAGCAACGATGAATACCCAGCGGAACGTGCGCGGAAGACCTAGGTCCAGGATAAGTGACCGATGACCGTAGATGGCTATTGGCGTGCCGTTGGCGGAACTGAGGCTAGTCGACAGAGAAGCGGTAGGCTCATCTGGCATAGGGGGAAGGACGCTGACTTTGGCCCTCGTTTCAACCAAGAACTGGGTCTCGGAGTCATACTCCCTAACGTAGATGAAATGACTTTGGGCTTTGCCGACGCCATTAGTCGCCATTACTGGTCGGCCTGAAAGTTTCCCTGTTGGTGGCGGAGAAACTGCATGGTTGCTCGCACTTACATGCTTTGTTACCAAAACGCGAGTGGTAAAAGCAAAAGCCTGAATTGTTAGGCTTCCTGCGACGAGGTGATGAGCTAGAGCGGCTACGCTGCTTATGATCTAGTGAGAGTTTCTCGACTTGGAGTTGTAGTGAAGCTATTTGCGATGATAAAGTGTCCATTGCCGACGGCTCCCTAGTCGCGTATGTCGCTGGGGCTGCGACGGGGCTAAGTCAAGTGAATGTCCTTAGTTCCTTCGTTGGTTGATGTCGTTCGATGACACGGCCTGCTAGTTCTGCAATTGCGGTGAGTGGCAAATAACTTGCTACCGCAAGGATAGCCTGAGTGTTTTCGGGTAGGCGTTGCATTCACAGCTCGCGGAGAATCCCTACGTCCATGTTGGACGTGCCGATGAGCTGTTGCGTTTCGCGAAACAAGGCTGAGGGCATACTATCTCCTAGTTGCAAATCACTAAATAGTTGCTGCAGTCGGACCTTGTCAGATGCGTAATACGCTGAATAATAGCCTGTTTAAAAGTGTCGTATTTCATTACAAGAGGGGGGCAAAATATGATGTCTCACACCTGCGAGGATATACTTTGAGGAAGGCGGGTCATTAGCTGACTATACATGGCGAAATCAGAAGGAATCCAACGAATGTACAAAAACGGATTCTAGATGCAAAAACTATACTGAAGGATCATTCTACCAAAAAAGCGGGAAAGGCTAACGCAACAGAATTGACCAGGACAACCTCAACGGCGTTAACCGCGTATGGAGAATGCTCATCCTCTAGATAATTCATTGCAAAAAGCAGATACAAATGTGGTAGGTGAGAAAACAATATAATCACAAGTAGTGAATCACAAAATCACTGGAACGAGCGCACTAGAATGAAAACTCGAAATGGCGGACGGCGTGTTCCTGACAGGGTTCACCAATTGTTGGGCCGAGCCTGAGATACTGGTCGGTAAGCAATGACACGTAAGACGTGTCCAACACGAGACAGTATAGAAGTCGGAGGCAACTGAACCCAACGTATATGGTGCAGGATACAAAAATAGGAAGCGAATCAGCGAGAGCGATAAACGTGCAGCAAGGTACTCACCAAAACGGTTTTTGTCCACGGATGTGCAATTAGTAGAACGAATGGACGTTTTGAAGGTTAAAACAACCGTAAAATCCAATGTTGCAAAATACTGAAAGAGCTTGTTTTCCGGTACACTACAGGTTCCTATGACCTTTGATTAATGCCATACATGGAGACACTGAAGCGATAACTGATTAACAAGTCGCCATTGGGTGTGGAGACAAGCGAACAATCACTAACGTCGTTTCAACGCTACACTTAGAATCCTTTTAGTTTGTGTTCAGTCAGCAACCGTGATAGAAATAAGCACCCAGAGAACTTTCGTTGTTCAGCTTCAGGTTTGTTTACCAACTTCAGTGGGAACAATGTCCCTCATGGTCGTCGCAATAACAATCGCACAAAATTGTCTAACCGCCTTGCAGCCATTGCTGATTCAGGTTTGGGTGTGCAGTGTCCAAGCCACGGCGCATGCTTGACCAACCGCAAATGCAGGCGTGCCTCACTCCCTCAGACCTCAGAGACTGCGGAATACCAGTTAGAAGATTGCCTGTCTACGCTACCATGGTTAGGCCGCTGAATAAGCCACCACCGGGTAGCCGCTAGCGATCATTAAGTGTTGACCGCTTCATGTGGTAGTTACTATGTCTGTCCGCACTGGTTGCGGCGTAAGCTTCGGATCATGTGGTAGCTAGGATCTCCTCCTTAGACAGGCATCACAAGTTGCCCATTGGACGGTTTCAGTTTGGAGACCAATCACCAAGGTTTACTTCAGATGGGCATCAAGACAGAACAGAAGGTGGTGCTCGACCATTTTCATTCGACTGTCTGTCGCTTATGCTCAGGGCTTCCAACCGGTGTCCCATTGGCTAACGTCCCATGACCAATGCGAGTGTCAACGACGCCAAAACAGCGTTCTTAGCCTCGCTAACTTGCAAGCACTGCACGTGCCTTCGAAAAGCTGTCACGCTAAAAGCTTGGTACAATGCAGTAACATGCCTGTAAAATGGCAAAGTTGTTACCAGCGGTGGATTATCATTTTGTAGCATTGCCCTTTATAATTTTCGCTTGTGTATTTGCAGGCTAAAGAAGTTGTATGAGGTAACAAATGTACCTAGAGTTGGAAATGCCCATTTTATTCTTTTTCATAGAAGTAAGCACTTGACAATAAACAGGTATACACAGAGACCTTACTACATATGGCCAATGGTAGCTCAAGAACTGTACTTAGACATTCTCAGTTGCGCTAGACTTAACGTTCGTCTGGTATTAGAACAGTCGCGCCTATGCCGCTAAACGTAAACCCGAACTGTTCTGACCGGCTGTCACCGGACACAGCCTTGAATCTCAACTGTCAATTTCAACTCACCTCGAATAAGAAATCTCCGCGCTAAAATCTTGACTACTGGTTTTATGCTGTGGATTAGCTTACCCGGACCGCCTTTTAACTATGTGAGAGTGAAGACCGTAATAAACCTTAGTGTTAATACTCCTGCGCTGTGGTTAGTAGCTATGCACACCCGATCATGTTGAGCGGTTTTACCTGTCTCGCATAAACTAATTTACGTCATTTTCCGCAAAGCAGTTTCCAGTTTATACGGCTGCAAGCTCAGCCAGTGTTCATGTGACGGAGTTTAGAGGGCCTTATGCTACCGTACTCGTAGTGAAAAAGCACTTCAAGCGGGTGGAGGTAACTGCCGCTGTTTCTGCTGCTCCTGATTGCAATGTGTGGCATGGTCACGAGCGTCATGTGTACGCCAAGAGGTGAGTATATAATTATTATCATCAATGTCGTCATTAAGCACCTTAGCAAGCGGTGGAAACACCTCAGCTAGTGTGCCGCAGTAGCTGACAATGACTCCTTCTGCCCTGCAGCCTTACGGTCTATGCTATTAACTTTATCATCCTGTTTTTACTTCACTGAATAGTTGGCATTTACATACTGATCAGTATTGGTTCACTTATTGTTCTCATCCCCATACAGGCTCAATGTCTCATACAAACAAGCCCTTAGTGGAACTGTTCACAAAAGCAGCACCCACCGATAAACGGGAGAAAGGTCCTTGTCTGATTGGACAACAATGGTTCATGACTCTTTATTGTTTGGTTGAACAGGGTTTGATTGATCTGCGTTTCACACCAATGTCTCTGGAAGCACCTCCACCAAACTATGTTCGCTTGGATGCGGCGCGTCATCTCCCTATCGCATGGATTGAGTCAGGCATCGTGGCTGGCAAAGATTGTTCCGGAACCGTTATTTCGTCCACTGAAGAGCTCGAATTATTGATGGAAAAGCTGGGTGCTGCTAACCTAAATGTCTCGCTAAACCAGCAGGAGATACTTCGGACGGAAGAAGTGTTTGAAGATCTATATATAAATCTCATGAATTACATTCGCTACGATCACCGAACGCCGCTGATTAACACTCTGACTAAAGTGAATGACTTCTTGCGTCAGAAAGGGGAGAGATATTTACTCGACGACTACGTGACCTACCCAGACTGTCAGCTCATGCCGAAGTTACAGCACCTGCGCGTCGCTGGCCGGGCATACAAAGGTTTCGACGTACCCGAGCATTTGACTCACCTGTGGGCATATGTGAAACAGATGTACGAAACGAGAGCGTTCACGTGTTCCTGTCCGTCGGACCGAGATATCCTACTACACTATCAAGAGAAAGATCCATTGCCAAAAAATGTGCGTCTCAGCCTTCTGGGTGCGGAATATTTATCCACTGTACCTGCTCAAGCCATTAACGGTGGGTGTACCAAATAATATTCGTGGATAACTGAAGGTGTAACTTGACCAGCGCCAATTTCCAAAGTCATTGGACATAATGTTTAACTTTCTTTCTATTGACGTATTATTCATTCCTCTCTTCATCATTTGTCATCCTAACGATCATCACTGTATCAATCCTCATCGACGTCACTATGATTCATATTGGTCAGTAAGTAGCTCCTCTTGGTGCATCAAAATTATTGCAATGACTACCATTTTATCCATTTTCGCTGTCTTCAGCTGTCCTGTTTGAGATATATAAACAGCTCAAGTCGTCTACCCAGGGGCTTTCCTGGGTAAGCGCCGAGCTTTCGAGTTGTGTTTCCGTATCACTGAATTGCATTTTATAGTAGGAACTCATTCTCATTATCTACCGAATTTAGACAGGGTATGCACCTTCAGAACGCTACTCGAGATTCTTGGTTAGAAAGATGATCGGTTGCGGAACTCAATATATGGTGTGAAAGTTGTCTTAAAATTACTTTACAAGTTCACTTGTGTTGACCAACATGTGGCTACGATGTACGAGTCATGTTAGTGTTCCCCAATGGGATAGCCACTTAGCACTGGCGCAGGAATCCAAGGTAAATCAGTGATCACAAAGCTTAGTGAACGCTGCTTCTAGGCGCGATATACTTCTTCCGGCCTATCGGTAATTGCTATCGGGTAGAATATTATGATATTCTTCTCAGTCCTATTTCATTAACTCACAGGCATACGGGCTGTGGACGTAACGAACTGATTTTATACCAACATGTTTGTGATGTGTCAGGCCTCTGCGACTGCCTTCACCCACTAACGGTAATGAGAACGCGAAAGAGCAGGAACAAGGTTTAAGGTTCTTTTCATAAGGAAACGGCATCGTTATATAGCATGACGCATAAATGTAGAAACCAACCAGAGTAATGAAAGTGTGCGAACAGACAAAGCCAATAAAGATAGAACAAAGAACCAATCAGATGCACACAGAGAGAGAGAGAGAAGTGGCAGCAGCAGCGTCAGAGTAGGAGTGCAAACCGAAAGCAGAAGCATCTACTCTAAACAGCCAAGGGGGTTAACGAAGTAACAAGTTGAAAAAACCTGGGCGAATGAGCCTAGCAAGAGGGAAGTCAGAAGTTATTAACATTTGGGTATACATACTTGAATTATTATTATTCTTCTAATACGGGGGAATAGAGTGCTTCCGTCTAGTTCCTGTAGCCATGAAGTTTGAAAATGGTAGGTCAAGAGCCGGACCGTTCTACTCAGCTGTATGAACCGAAGTGTGGCCCATGACTGACCAGCTGAAATGGTATTTAACTACTTGGACTCCATGGACCTGGATACTGCGCCTGCTGTGTACGGATGTAAGGCTACTCGCGTCACGTTGAGTAAAATATGTTGGCTACTCTTCTTTGTGCATTCTACGTTCACACTACCCACTAGCTGCACCTTGCTGCAGTGGCTATGTTTACGCATAAAATGCACTCCCACTATGTTAGGTTACCAGGACCTGCGTTATATCCACGGTTAAAGAGATAGGGCCCCTTTCTCTTTCATGATTTTGTACATTTCTCACGATGTTGAAACCACTGGTCCTCTTACAGTGCACTTCATCCTGGCGCGACCTTGGCGCGCGGTTTGAAATTTTTGGAAAATGCTCTTTCTTGCTATTTTGCCCTTAAAATTGGCTTTGAAGCACATTCAATAGGGGCAGAGTGGAAAAACTTTACTCTGCTTCAACAGTTATTTGATCGCTGTCATCGAGACAACTGTGCACTCGTGACTGAGTAACCATGTCAAGGTGTTTCGCTTCCCTGACATAGCGGAACCTTTCGTATACCGATTTTTCCTCCCATGCCTTGGTCACGGTACACCTTGGATTCTCACTGGCACACATCTGTCGGTGGATTTATCTTCTTCTCTCCTGCTCATATCACCGTGAGTTCGTTCCAATATTTTTCCTTCTTGTTTAGTGTTGTTGTGATTTTAGCCTTGCACTGTTCATATTTTTTACGGTTGTAGCATTTATCCTTTTTATATACTTACGCTCTCTATGTCTTTTACACACGGCTTCTCACGTGGACTGTAAGTGTGGGGAGTATATCTACGGCACAATAGTTATGGAAGAAATTCACTGCGACTTATGTTTACTATGGAATCATAATAGTTGTTCAAGGCTAGATCAAGCTACAATTGATATTTATGCTCGCCACACTAACCTGAAGTGGATATGCTTCCATTGCATTTGCCTGACTGATACTAACTCCATTGTAGTGCGCGAACGCAGTTGGATCCGAATCGGGACTCATTTGCGGACTATTTGCAAAGGTTCGATGCTGCAGAAAAATTAATCCGGGTACAGTGTTTACTCATCAATGAAATACGAGAGAGAATTAATGAGGTTTATTCGTCCTGTGCTCTTACATTCGTAATACGGAAATGGTGCTAGGTAGGAAACGGAAGCTCCTTACCTACAATAAAAAGGAACCGTTTATTTGGGAAGCGAAATCTAGGCGGGAGTTGGATAGAAGGCGAGTGCATGATATTCTCCGTAATGTCGGGATACCGTCGTATGTTGGTATCAAGCGCATCCATCTAGTAGGCAGTTGGAGAAAGACGAGTACATTGCACCAAAGTGATCTTGCAAGACTTATCCTTGTTGAGTTCAAGAACCTGATCTACCGTGACTTACTGCTCAGCGATGCCGGCTTCTTAGCCAACTAGACCAGGGGCTGACATCAAGGGTTACCGGACATGCTACCTTCTGTATCCACAGTAAATGAGCTTCTTGTGCCGATTCCCGGATGACTGGCAAATGACACGAGTTGCAATTGACATTGGTTCCGACATATCTTTGGGAGTAGTCAACGTCGCCTCATACGATTGTTCCACACAATTACCAAAAGACAATTTACCTGACCCGAGTATGACTGCAGAAAGCTGAGTAATAACAGACAGCTTAATTTCTTCTCCAATGGTAGAAAATAGTATTGGAGAAGAGACCACAGACTCTTCCTTTGATGGAACGCGGGTGGGCAGTAGCATCCTCTGCTGCAGACCCAATTGCGGTTCCACTGACTCTGTCAGGCTGAATGTAAGAGAGTGTTGATCGCTACTTAGATTAGTCCATTGGCATTTTGGGGCTGGTTTTAATGATAGTTGATCGGTTAAGAAAAGTAGGGCCGTAAAGATGTCAATGAAAAGGACGCTTGTGCGCCCTGTTAATAATTCAGGCGAGTCTAAGCGGCCATTAGTGGATATGTCTCGTGGGAACTTTCAAGATCCCGCTATCCGTCCTGAAATCCAGCTTATTGTTTGGGGGATGTTTCAGAAACCCCAACAAATATACTATCCCCTCGGGCTCTGCGTCCGAGGGGAATTATAAAGAATTGCTAATCGAAGGAGGAAGGCTGCAAATTGGGGGTCTGTGGGTATGATAAACGAACTACTGTAGCTTCAGGAATATGTGGGAGGAGTTGACGCTGCATTGCAGGCTCACCGACGTTGTCGTCTTGACTGAAACCTGGCTGTCGTCCACTGATCAGGTAAGCGACTTACTGGTTGATTCCTCTAGTCATAGAGTAGATTGACCTGGACAACACGTTGGTCGACGGACACTTTGCTCGTTAAATGCAACCACAAGCTATGGGAAGCAACATTTTCCACGGCAACATCAAATGTTCAGGCTGTTTCTTGCTTTTTGTGGGCAGATGTTATGTTGGAAAATTTCCTCCGTGTGTACCGTAGCCCTTCCTCCATGAGGACGCATGGATGCGTAACACGGAGCTCAGCAACATCTTAAAGCAGGCTGCAGTTGATACATCGAATTTTGTTAAACTTGGTGACCTGTCTTCCACATGCGAACTGGGAGCATTCCGTCAATGTGACAGGTACTTTGGGGTTAGAATTGATTAAATGCATACGAGAGAGTGCGTGTGCCCTACACTTTGCCCTTCCGAAGAGGAAGTCGAGTTTGGCCTACCCCCTCCAGTTTAAATTTTGTGATCGCTAGGCATGACTATTTAACAGAGATGCATGCGGAGACCCACATATGCCGAAGCGATCACTGTGTCCTTACCTTTTCGGTGAATATGAAGAAGCTACCAGTGAAACCTCGACTTGTGCGAAAGTTTGGAAGATATCCTTTGTAAATATCCTTCCTCTCCAAATGTATTATTGCGAGTTATTGTTAAAGGTACGGATGAGATAATATGAAATGCGTGCATTTACCAGTCTTCGTCTTCTTACTGCGCTTTTCAAATTACTAAAGGGAACTAACTGTTTCAAATTTCTAAAAAGACGAATTCCCGCTGTAACAGTCAAGCTACTTCGCCGCATTGTCAACCTGCTTGTAAGCATGTGGAAATATCCTTCCTCTCCGAATGTATTATTGCGAGTTATTGTTAAAGGCACTGTTGAGACAATACGAAGTGCGTGGATTTGCCAGTCTTCGTCTTCTTACTGCGCTTTTCAAATTACTAAAGGGAACTAACTGTTTCAAAATGATATTAGCCGTTTGTGGAATAGAGCCTTTCAGCTCCCTTGGGTCCGTACTCAAGAACCAGCAAGTCAGAACAAAGGTGGGATATACTTAAGTCTGGCTTCGTGCAATTGCTGGATAAGTTCGTTCCCTTGTGCTCCGATAGAAGCAGGAATAAGCCCAGCAGGTGGCGACCTAACTTTTCCCGAATGCTTCGTGGAAGTAATAGTTGTTGGACACTCTTTTAGGTATCTGGAGGCTTCCGACAACGGCTACACTATAAACGATATCCGAATAGAGCAATCATATTGCAGTGGCGAGCTAAATAGCGCTATAAGCTCATCTTAGCTCCGAATGCAAAATGAAATCCGAAGTTGTATTACAGCTGGGTACAGTAAAACGTTTCCTTGAAGGAAGGGATTGGTAACCAGACTAAGGAGGATGGTAGTGAAGTTGTGGAAGACGCAGCTAAGGCGGAGGTGTTATTGCATGTCTTTCAGCACTTGCACCGTGTGGACAGTGGCTGTGCAATCCTCTCGCATTCACACGTCTCATGTGACAATGAAATGCAAGACTTCGAATAACTACGTCAGAGGTCCCTGAGGTGCTGGCTAGCCTAAACCCCTATAAATTGACAGCCCTGAGAATGTTCATACATCAATTATTAAAACCCTTTCGGATACGCTACAGTATCCCATCTTGGACCTATGCTACTGTGCTCTTTAGAACGGTAGGCTACCACATGACTGGAAACAGGCGAATGTTATGGCAATTCATAAGGAGGGCTCCAAGTCTTCTCCACCCAACCATAGGCCAGTCAGTCTGACAAGTATTCTGCTCAAGTGCCTGGATAAGCTTAGTAGACACCGAATTTGTGAGCACTTCGTTTTTAAT